TGTAAACTGTTCTTGTTTTATTAACAATGGCTGGACTTTTTCTGGACAGTCCTCCTTATATGATTTTGGACACATGATAAAAGTGGGGGGAAACGTTCTTAGATTTCAAAAGTGAAAATGGTCAATTTGGGGTGGCTGAGAGATTAACAAATTCCTGTTAGGCAATTCAGAAACAATGGGACAGGGAGGGGATCTGGTTAACGGGCCATTGCTTGGAGCCTTGCTGTCCACCATACTTAATTCAATTTAGGCTAAGGTGAAAACACTAGTATTTCCTTCCTGGATCAGCTTTTGGACAGGAAATGGGGATGAAAAGGGGGAAAATGTTCTTTCTGAGTCTTTTGTTTATTAATTACCAGCTTAAAATCAATACCGTAAAAGACTCTTTTGGGGTGGCAAACGTTGGTCTCTTTCAAGTGTATTGTAGAGATAAAAAGAAGGCTCCAGAAATAAATTACATGGGTTACATTTGAACTCTACCAGTTCTTAACTGGGTGACCTTGATAAAGCAACTTAACCTCTCTGTGCCCCAGTTTCTTTATTTATAAAATGAGGATAATGGCAGAAATTACCTCAAAAGGGTTGTTATAAGGATTCAGTGTGTCCATAATTGCAGTGCACTTAGAACGGTGCAGGGAGCTTAGCATCAGCTCACATCAGTTATATCTTATATTTCTCATCAAAAGAGACATGCTCTAAGACATTGACAAGTTCTCTGTTTAAGCTAAGAGGATGCCACCCTTAATGTGTGTTATGAAGAAGAATTAGTGTATTGTCTTTTTTGTTTTGAGAGATAACCAAAACCAGAGGGAAACATATACCATGTAGTAATTCAATTGTTGAACTGTCAAATAAGGCACCATAAATAAATTTATTGTACAAAGGAATTCCAAAATTATTAGAAAGTAATTGTGCTTTTGCTGACCTATTTTAACTGACAATCTGGCAGTGAAAAGAAAATGTAAGTATGGTTACTGTATGGGATAATAATGAATGGAGAAGAGGTCTTCTGCCCATCAAGCCTGCTGTGTGAGAGCCTAGTGAGCTAATTGTTCACCAGACTTGGAGTCAGGGACCTGGTCTCAGAGAGACATGATGTATGTGCAGAGCTAGGCTCCTGTGTGTTCCCAACAGACAAGGACATTGACAATATTCCACTAATGAAAATTTTGTTTGCCATTCAAAGTCAAGGTTAATCATTCATTTCAAGTTGATTTCTAGCCTTCATTAAATGTGTTATGTCCAGGAGTGAATGATGACGTGTATGAATTACAAGGTATGTTTTACATTCTTTGAGCCTTGCAGCAGCCTACTTAGATAGGTATTGCTAGTTTCATTTTCATTGACTGTTTTGCACATGTACTGAAGAGAGACCAAATAACTTGTCCAGTAGCAAACAGCTAGTGGGTGATTAAGAGACAAATAAGGTCATGATGGCATGAACTGTAAGCTTGCTAAGGGCAGGGAAATGTAGATGTGTAGAGTTACCCTGGGTAACCAAAACAGCCTTGGATGCAATCTATGCCCAGTTCAGTTTCAAGTGAATGAAGACAATGGTCCTGATAGTTTGGTTTGGGAAACATGGCCTGTGAATGAGGGAAAGACTACTAAATGTTGTGTTTTGTCATTTTAAAATATGGAGATGATGAAGACTGTCCATGTTTTACTTGTTTGACTGGAGGTCAGGAATATAAATATAACTATATAATTATCTTTTCAATGTGTATCTGGCAACTTTCTCCAAAGTAATTTAAATTGTTTCCACCCAAGTTATCTTCAGAATTGTAAAGGGAAATTCTCAACTTTTGCAAAGAAAGGTAGCCGAAAAGTCAAAGCATTGTTATTTCTGGGATATTGTCCTTTAAAATAGCCTGATTGTTTCCTTAAACCATCAGTGGGCTGATTTAGTCTCATTCCTGGCCCTAAAATGCAAAGATATTGTAAGTGTCCTAGTTAGTGACCATGGAGGAAGGCTTATGAGAATTAATGGCCCAGGGAAGACAGTTATGAATTTCTGGATATCAAAAAATTAAGTATTGCTTCTAATCTCAATGACCCTGTACATAGGTCCTACATAACTTGTCAAAGTTCCCTGCACTTACTTCTTTCTCTCATTGGGGAGATGGAGTAAATGATGATGAGGAAGACTCAATGGGCCAAACAGCTGAAACGCACTCTAGCAATCGCTGCCAGAGTGCAAGAGAAAAGGTGAAGTCTTTGTTGTCTCATCAGCACATTCTTTTAATAGAGATCTGAAGACAGGAATGATGTCGTTCTCAGAGTGCTGGCATTTATTGTTTCCATTTTGTTCCTTAAATACCTAACTTGATGCTGTCGTGTCAAGACAGAGAGGAGAACTTCAAACAGCCACCGTTACCTGTATTTCCATCTTGTCTCCCATCACCCTTTTCTATCTTATGACTGCTACATTTGTTACCTTCTGCATCAAAACATCCTTGTTTCTCATAACCTCACAGAAAAAAAATCAACACATGAAAAGATTAGAGGACATTCATCCTCTTTCTAGAACTGCTGCTGCTTCCTTTTTTGGGGGTCGGGGTGGGGAACTGCAATTTTGGATAAATGTGTAAGATTTTGAAAGTCTGAGTTTATTTTTCCCTTCTAGTATTATCTACACTGAAAATATGTATTAAACTCTCACACTATGACTCTGAAAATCTTGTTAAAAAGTCAAATTCCTGGGTTCTACTCATAAAGATTTCTCCTTCATGTTCAGAGAAACCATCAGGAATCTGCATTTTAAAAAGCATCCGAGAAGAATAGTATGCATTTTCTTAAAAAACAAACAAACAAACACCATCATCATGCTTTCACTCATCTGGTATTTCCCAGTTTTCCAAATGCTCGCTGTGAGGTGGATGGGAATGATTATGAGCATAAAAAAAGAGACTCAGAGTTTAATGATGATTTTCTCAAGGCCTCACTCACTGTACACCCACCTCTTGCCCATGTCTTTAGATTCTTCACCTTAGCTGAACTTTTTACTTTTGGGTTTTGAAGTGAAAAGGGCAAGGAGTCCCCAAAGCCAGCTAGTACTGTCTGCCTTCCCCAAGATGCCTGCCTTCCTCAAGAATGAGACAGGTCTTCTGGTAGCCAAGGAAGAAAAATAATTTTATCCAAGGAAAGTGAACATTTGCATAAGTGGTATAGTGTTACCTTGATTTTAAGGGATGATCCACTTGCTCCATCCAGGTGCACTTCTGAGAATGCATTCACCTGTTTTGTTCTATTTTATTAAAATCCCAAGTTCTCTGTCCTCACTCAGACACACTGAACTGCTTCAGGGGATGCATGCTCCCCAATGACAGCTGGGATTCCCCCCTTGTTGGCACCTTGCTATTTAATCCTCCTTCCAACTGTCTGCCCCATAAATCCCTGTCTGCCTGTGTGATGCCCAGCTGTAGCATGAAAGGTCCAGGCCACCACATACAGTAGGGTTGTTTGACTTAGTGCCTAAACAACACTATAAACCTCAATCATTCTCATAGCCTAACTGAATTTCTGCTAAGTTCACAAGTTTGTGACTACACATCTAGAGACTTCCTAGAGCATCTCCTGGTCTCACATCCATTTTCAGTAGCTTTCAGGGCCTGTGTTTTTCTTGCCCTCTACTAGAGTGGTGCCAACATACACCTGTTTCTGCTTGGAAATCAGCCATGTAATCTATGGGCACTACCCTTGACACTTAGCCAGGTTTCTGTGACTGGGAGACATTAGAGATATTTGCAGACTAGTTGAACAGAGACTTTAAATATAACTGATACCCACTTCTAGACTTTGGCATGAATGGAAGATGATTACACCTTTTGTAGTTCCAGAATCTTTCATGCTGCATTTTAGCCTGGGTGACATTCTCTCCTCTGCTGAGTTTCCTGTAACATACAGCAGTCATCTCAAGCACTCCTGGAGACCTGATCGCATCCTCAAGCGTGTTGTTGACTGCCCTCGCCCACAGTCACCCTCTCTCACCCTACCTCCATTCTTCCTTGTGCAGGGTGCTCACTTGGCCCCTAATTTTAGAGACTGCGCCTGTTTTACAGTTTTCCAGATAGAACCAAGAAATCTAGGTTTAAAGGAAGCGGAAACACTTTTTCCTGTTCCAGAATGAGCTAGAAGTGGGGATCAAACTCAGGGCTCAAGAGGCTGTTACTTTCTTCAGTGTCCACTGCCTTCCTCCCTAAACAGAGAACTATCTCTGCTCTAGGTTATTGGAGACTGGGCGGACTGCCTTCTTTGAGCTCCCCCACCCCTAGCCCCTTCTTTGCACAGATGCTCAGGGTCCTCCAACCGGTTTGTCATAGTGTTTTCTCTTGGGGGAGGGACTGGACAGAGCAGACCCGAGCTGCAGTTCCCTTGCTCTGCCTGAGAATTTCTCATCCAAACCTCAATCACGTAGGATTGCGTAGAGAGGAGAAAAGGGGAGAGACAGAAGACAGAGGGGGAGAGGGGTGACAGGAAGGAGGAGGAGGGAGTCTGGGAGCAGAGGGCGCAAAGGAGGGGAGGAGAACCCGAGCACGGGGCTCTTCCAGCGCTCCAAGAGCCGGGCCCCCACCTGGCCCCACCTGGGCGCCCTGGAGCTCTCTGGAGGGTGGGCTAGCGCAGCAGGAGGTACTCCCACCGCCACCTGCTCTTGGTTCCATCACCGTCTCGGCAGTGGTCCTCCCTGCCTGGAGTTTCTTAGGGAGCTAGCGCTCCAGCCCAGCGTGCAGAGCCGGCTGGGAGGCGGTGACGGCACCCGGGAGCTGGTTCGGCTTTACGCTCCAACAGCCCGAGCCCCTGAATGGGAATCCAACCTGAGAGCCCCCTCCGGGCCCCGGGTCTGCAACGGAGGGCGTCTCGCTAGCCAGTGGCTCTGAGCGGCCACCCGCGCAAGTTGAGCGAGTTGGCAGCAGCCCGCACCTGCCTCCTGGCCTGTGGGGCCCCAGAGTCTGCATCCGGCCCCAAGAACCCGGGTTGGACGCTCCGCTGCCTCCTGCAGTCGCCTCCGGCGGCCCAAGGGCCCCACCTGCGCCCCAAGCACCGGACCATGGTGGGCAGCTCCGGTGGGGAGCCACAGCCACCTCCAGCCGAGGTCGCCCGCAGCCAGCCCCTACCCCACCCGAGCCGACACGCGGGTGTTCGCAGCGAGCTGGTCACTTCTTCCTCAGCCGGAATGGGTCGCGCAGGACTGAGCGATCGGCCTCGCGTCCGGCGGGTAATCCCCATCTGATCTGCTGCCTGTGAGCTACCGACTGCTGGGCGGCGCGAACCTGGGGGGCGGGGGGCGCGGAGATGACCTGATCGAGAGCACGCCAAAGCGCCCTCTCCTTTCTCTGCTCCCTTTTGAGCCTGTACGGAGACGCGCTCGGTGCTGCGGCCCGGCTGGACCATGGCGGGGAGCTCCAGTTAAAAGCGTGTGGGCGCCGAGCTGGAGAGGACACCTTCAGGATCGCTGCCTTTTTAGGGGGCTTATTTAAACTACTGAGTCATTCCAAATTTAGGATTCCCTAAATAATCACCAACTGTGCCCGTCTCCTGAAGACAGCAAGCGGAAAGAGAAAGAGCACCTGCTCTTTGGGACCCCGGTATCCCCTGCACCCGCCTCCCGCGGGGGTTTCTCCCTAAGGACTGCTTAGCCCTCGAGGATCTCCCTGCCGCCCCTCCTTCGTTGCCAGTCCCTCATTCTCTCCCTCCTCCCCGGCTTCCTGCTCTCTTTGCAGTGCTGCCGGCGGGGAGTCGCGCTCCCTCCCCGCAGCTGGAAACAGCTGCGCCCACCCCACGCCCATTCCCCGACTCCGGCTAACCGCTCCCACTTCGCGCCTCTCGGAATCTGAGGACGCAGCGGGCGCGATGCCATCCGTAGACCTCACCCCGCCGGGAAGGACCGCCTAATCTCCAGAACTGCGGGCCGCAGGGAGTTAAATTGCTGCCTTCCTCTCCTTCTCTCTTGCGGTTGGTGGCTTGTTCTCTAAAGGATCGTTTTATTCACTTTTTAGTATTTTCTACCGGGGGCACGCTACCCGCTGTGGTCCAGACTCTGCTTTGTAAACGGGTTTTATATGATGTGTGTGTAGATATACTTTGGACACCTTACAACGCTTGCGCCTCTCCAACAGGGGCACGGCTTGTTGTTTTGGACACCTTCCTCCCCTTCTACTTGGTACTCCCAAGGCAGTGTGACCAAACTCCCCACTGCCCCTTGGACGCCGATCGCCTTAGGGTGCAAGTTTGGGGTGCAAGAGTCGAGTGAACAGGAAGGCTCGGGAGCGCCCCGCCCCCGCCGCCAGCGGTTGGGGAAGTTTACATCTGGATTTTCACACATTTGGTCGCCGCTGCCCAGACTCTGACTAACCTTGTGGGCGCCGGGTTTTCAGAACTGCAGCCTTCTCAAATATTAGCACTGCCTCCCGCGCCTGCCCTGTCCCTCCGGGCCGCCGAGGTCCTGCCCTCACCCCGGGGGAGAGCGATCCCGAGGGCGCAGTGGAGCCCGGGGCCGGTGGCCCTCGCTGAGCAGCTATGGCTGCGGCTATAGCCAGCTCCTTGATCCGGCAGAAGCGACAGGCGAGGGAGTCCAACAGCGACCGGGTGTCGGCCTCCAAGCGCCGCTCCAGCCCCAGCAAAGACGGGCGCTCCTTGTGCGAGAGGCACGTCCTCGGGGTATTCAGCAAAGTGCGCTTCTGCAGCGGCCGCAAGAGGCCAGTGAGGAGGAGACCAGGTCAGTAGAAGCCCGGACCGTGGGCCCCCCTGGGGCTGACATCCCTTTCCCCTTCCGCAAGTCACCTGGGAACACCCAGGGAAGAGAACCAGGAACTCCCCTTCCATTCGCTCCCCACCCCCTTCTTTCTTCATTTTCACACACCTCGTTCAGTCGCCCTCTGTCAGTTTATAGCTTCTTGTCCCATATTTAGGGAAACACTTTATACCTTGATGTAACTATGGTTCGTCTAGGATGAGAGTTACACGCATGGTGTTTCTAGTCCTGTGCAGCCTGTAGAGTCCTTGAAGGCAGGGACTGCCTCATTCATTCTCTCTCTCCCCCGCCTGTCTGTCCATCGTCAGTCCGTCCATCCATCCAACCATCCATCCAGGGCTTATATTATTTACTGAGGACCTAAAAATAAAACCCTTTCTCTCTCTATCTCTCATAATATTAATAGTTCTTGATGCATACTAGTCACTTAGTAGACACCAAACTTATATTTATTCTCTTTTTCTAACTCTTCCTCCACCTCCAGCAACACATGATATTGCATCGTTCAGATCTTTTTATCAATTTCTCGCCTCCCCAATTTCCCACATGCCCTTTCCTTTCCTTTCACACAGGCCTCCTTTTCCTATGTTCTACCCCAATTACTCTCCTGGTTTCTGAGGGCTCTGCTGGTCAACTTTTCCGTCCTGTCACTCCCATTCTTTGTACACTCACACTTACTTTTGGGACACTAAGGGAAACATACAGCATCTGCAATTTGGCTTCAGGGAGGGTAAAGAAAACTTTAGACTTATTAGAGATGTTTTTTTGGCATAGGCTTTCTGAAGCTGATTCTCTTATTTGGCCTTTAATTAAAATGGCTGGTATATAATGTGTGTCTGTTTACAAAGGGAAATTGGATCCCTTGAGTCTCAGGGTGATTATTCCCAGCTCAGGCAGGCCAGTGTCCCAGCTGGAGAGAATGAAAGCAGAATTGCCGAGGTCTGTGCTTCCACCAGACTTTATTGATCCTCTGGCTGTGGTGGGCAGAGTCATTTGCAATCTGCAGATATTCTGTCCTTACAGTGGACAGCTGAAAGCAAATATTGTGTAGAAAGAAATCTTTCCTTCTGTCATTAGTTAACTAGTTTAGGTTGGCGTCTTTGCAACTCTGTGATGTTCTCCTGGGTTCCAGGAGTGAGGTCATTGGGGTGAGGAAAACACTTGAAAAGTTTGGACACTTGGGACTCAGAATTAGTTTAGAAATTTGGGATTAATTCTTGTGAAGAAGCCATCTCATCTTATGTTTCCATTGGGTTTTCATGACATTATTTCTTTCCTAGGGACTCATTTTCTTACTCTGTGATGTTTATAAACTAGTAAATTTCAGGAGTAAACAAAAATCATTATGATCCCAGAGCAAGAGCTACTAAAGTCTCTGTTATTTTACATCCAATTAATATAACCTGTTTATTTCTTAAGGTGGAGATTTATGCAAAAACTAGAGTTATCTCTGCACAGTAAATAATTCACATCAGGGGAAAATAAAATCCCTGGTATTGTGCAGTGATCTTTTGGGGGCCATCTTTTCTCAGGGTTTAAGTAGTCTACAAGGAACTTCAAGCATCTGGATTTAATGTGACCCACATCTCCGCATCTGAAGTATGTTCTTGCACTCTAGTTAGGATAATTATATGATATTTGTGAATAGACCCTACTCAGCCTCCTCAGTTCAAAACAAGGGAATAAAAGCGATAGGTGGATTGTGTTTATGAATGGGTAAAATAAACTCACCTGATCTTTTGTTCAAGCTGGTTTGCAGATGAGCTATTTGCATGGCTGAATTTTGCATAGGGAAATTGCTTCCTGTGGCCCTTCTCTTAGCACCTATTAGAAAATAGAGAATTTGAGGGGATTGCTGAGTTTATGGTTTTCTTATGTTCATTTAATCTGCTCCTCTTTTTCATCTACTTAGTGTGCATCTTGGCAGAGAGGATCCTGACTGGTGACTTCCTTTAGCTGAGGTGTCACAGTAATAATCTGGCAGAAATTTGACAATACCTGTTAAGACCAGCTCAGTGCAAAGGCAGTGGGCATGTATCTGCACATAAGGGGCTTCAGGTTGCCAAAGCTTAGCTTAGGAGAAGAATGGGAGTGTGGGGTATGGAAAAGCATTTTGGGAAGATGATAGTGTGCTGTTATCGTTATTAACAAAGCCAAATAATTAATCTGTTGATTTGCCGTCAGCAACTAAGATTCACATAGCATGGGATGAGCCTATTTGTAGGGAGATAGCACCTTCCACATCTCAATTTCAGAGAGGATTCTTTAACTGGATTGGGAGGAAGTTGCTAAACACCAAAAAGAAAAACTATTTGAGGGAATCTGTTTTATAAGGACTTTGATGTTATGTTCACTTAGTATTTGAGTTATTTTTGAACTCACTAACCCTTCTAAACAATATCCTTGTGAAGTCCAGACTGAGTTACATATGGCAAAGTGTCATGTTTCTTTGACCAGACTTCCCAGGGAGTGAGGCTGAGGCAATACAACTAAGTCAAGTATTGGAATGGCAAGGCCACGTATTTCTGATTTCAGGTCTGACACATTCAGTGTCTCTCAGCCTCTTATTTTAGCTCTCCAAGTTTTGGTATGTATAATGTTGAAACTTTATACATGAGGTAGGAAGACTGAAATTACAAGGTAAAGGTTTCAGATTTCAAAATCATGACATTGCAGGATGAAAATGTGAGAACCAGCAGGGTGGTCCTCACACCACACAGTTCCAAGGCCATGGCTCACATCAGACACTCTGTGAATGGCATCCCCAGAGCACAGCATGTGGCTTAGCCTGGATTGTGTGGCAAAACTATTATTTGGATGAGAAATCCTAGAGTCAGGGTTGGTAGTTTACAACCAACACACAACATACAAGGGTACACAACTATATTGTGGCAAAATTGGGATGAGAACTAGATCAGACTGATTTTTCTCACCTGGCTCTTTGTAACACAACACAAAACAGTGATATGAAGAGGAACTAGGTGTATTCTCTCAAAGGATGAAAATAATTTTGTGTATTTTTATTTTTGTTATCATTAGGGATTATTTTTGTTGTTGTCATTATTATTTTGTAATTAGAATAGGATCCCTGGCTGGTGTGGCTCAGTGAGTTGAGTGCTGGCCTGAGAACCAAAAGGCCATAGGTTTGATTCCCAGTCAGGGCATATGCCTGGATTGAGGGACAGGTCCCCAGTTGGGGGCATGTGAAACACAACTGATCTATGTATCTCTCACACATCAATGTTTCTCTCCCTCTCTTTCTACCTTCTTACCCCTCTTTCTAAAAACAAATAAATAAAGTCTTTAAAAATATTTTAAAAAAGAATATGCCAGATAGAGGAGGTAACTGGCAGGAGGAGGCATAGGCTAAGTCAGGCACATGGGCTCTAAAATGACCATCCCTTTGCTAGCATTACAGAAGTAAATCCAGTTGTGAAGACATACACAGCACAGGAACAGTTAGCTCCTTAGCTATTGTGTGAGCTGTCCATAGCTCTTTGGGAATGAAATTTTGGAAGGTTTTAAACTGTCAAATTGGCTGAAGTCATTGAACCATAAAAAAGCCTTAGAATATTTCTTTTTGTGCACTTTCTAATGAAGAAAGAAGCATTCTTATGGTCATTATTTGAGTCATTATTTATGTGTGAAATACCTGTATGAGCCAGACCTGCTAGAATATTTGCTTAAATGATGATGCCACTTAATTTGCTATATCTAAGCTATTAGTACTATGTGAATTACATGGCTTACTCATTTCCTGCATTTGTTTTACTTTTGACTAGAAATGCTTGTATAAAAGATTGACTTCAAAAGTATTTATGTTCTGACTCTGAAGTTACTACAGGTAATGTTTAGCACTCACAATGAAGAAGGGAAAGGTTTTTATATTGTAGTCTCTGAATGTCAGAGTGGCCATGAACCTGGGAAGTCATCCAGTATCATTCTCCCATTTTTCAAATCAGTGGCTCCCTGGAAGTAAAGAGCATCTAGATAAACCTAAAACTATGTATTTGAAGTGATTTTTGTGTTTTTATTATTTTTCTATAAAATTTAATTTCTCCTCTCAAACCAGAGCATTAAAAAATCAACAATCAGGGAAAATTCCTTGCCTAAGTAAAGTAGATATTTTTCATAACTGAAGTATTTGGTTTTATATTTCCATCCCTTTTTAAAAATGATGCAGTATATTTACATTGAGTGGATACAATAAATCAAAGAACTCATTATAATTTTTGCTAAATTTTATGGCTTTTCATTGTCTATTTTTCTGAGTTTTTGTTTCTAGTGTTATAAAAGTTGTGGTTATTCAGAATATTTCAATATTCCTCCAAATTGTTTTGGTAGATGTATAGTACTTAATGGTGCACTCAGTCAACATTTTAATATCAAACACATCCATTTCAGTAGATGAAGGAACATTACAGAATATCAAAACTTCAAGAAGAAAACTGATGAAAATGGGGAGATGATGCTTACTTATGTGGCCTATGGAATATAATTACATTTTTATAAACTGAAATAATTTTGGTTCATATATACATCAAGAATAGATTCATATAACAAGTGATATGTTACATGTATAGCAAGGACTTTTATTTCCTCTTTCAAAAATATGACTCATGCCTGAACTACACAGTCAGCTTGATCAAATGATATTTGGCTTGATGTTTGTTAAAAACAAAAACAAAAATAAAAAAACAAGCTTTTCAGAAATCCACCCTCGGGGTTAAACTGCTATTTTGCACATGTTTTTTAATCCTTTTTTTCTACAGCAGTGCATTTGCATCAACAAATTAAATTTTGATTGTAAGGACATTATAAAATAGCAGATACTGTGAGCTCTTGATTTCTCTCACCCTACAGAGACCTCATCAAGCCATAACTCAGGATTAAGTCTTTAAAGTTTTAGTGAAGTTGATATTCTTGAACAGAATTAGAAAAACAATTTATAGAAAATGAGGTAG